CTCACTGTCTAGCATATTTTGTGTTGCTGTAAGGAAATACCTGAGTCTGGGTAATTTGTAAAAAAAAAAAAAAAAAAGTTTTTATTTGGCTCATGATTCTGGATGGTTGGAAAGCTCAAAATTGGGCATCTTCATGCCTCAGGCTGCTTCAACTCATGGAAGAAGGGAAGGCAGGGTGTGAAGAAGGAAGGGGGAGACAGATGCCAATCTTTTTTTGACAACCAGCTCTGTTAGGAACTAATAGAGTGAGAACCACTCACACATACCCACCAACACACTCCAGGAAGGGCACTAATCTGTTCATGAACGATCCACTCCCATCACCCACACACCTCCTGCTAGGCCCTGCCTCACAACACTATCACACTGGGGATTAAATTTCAACACAAGATTTGGTGGGGACAAATCACATCCAAAGTATAGCACTGACTCAATATATTTTACAGTTGCCTCACAGAGGCTCCATCTTTTGTTTTTACTAATTCATTTCATTATTTAACAAATATTTGCGAGGTTGTTTTTTGGTTTGTTTGGTTGCACTTTTTTGAGACGCTGTCTCACTCTGTCACTTAGACTGGAAGTGTAGTGGTGCGATCTTGGCTAACTGCAACCTCCGCCTCCAGGATTCAAGCGATTCTCCTGCCTCAGCCTCCCGAGTAGCTGGGATTACAGGCATCTGCCACCATGCCTGGCTAACTTTTATATTTTTAATAGAGATGGGGTTTCACCACATTGGCCAGGCTTGTCTTGAGCTCCTGGCCTCCAGTGATCTGCCTGCCTTGGCCTCCCAAAAGGCAGGAATTACAGGCATGAGCTACTGTGCCTGGCCACAAAGGTATATGACGTATTTACAGTGTTTCAGGTGCCTCAGATTCAGCCCTGGGCAAATCAGTCACATCTGTTCTCCAGGGGTTTACAGTTTAGTGACAATATCCAGAGCATCCCACTTCCCTCCCACCATCCCACCACTCTTACTACTTTTCTAAATCTCATTCCTAACGTCTACCTATGTTCCCGATGTGCAGATCACTTCCTACTCCTAGGGAGGAAATGTTTTTGAGAAGGAGAGGGGTAGGAAGAGGAGGGCCATGGGTTTTCTCTTAGTCAAAGACAGAGATCCTTTAACTCATTTGATCTCTGTTCTCCTTCCAAGTTCTGGATGAGATCAATCCCCAGTCTGTTGTTACGAGTGCCAAACAGGATGAGAATATGACTCGATTTCTGGGAAAGCTTGGTAAGGACTTGGTAAAAGATAGAGGGAAAATGGGGAAGGACTAATGTATAGAATGTTCCAGGGGGCTAGAATTGGGTGAGAGGGAGTGTCAGACAGAGGTAGAACGACTGAGATGTACAGAATGATAGCCTTTTCTTTGCCTCCCCAACAGCCTCCCAGGAGCACAGACAGCCTAAAAGACCTGAAATCGTATTTTTGCCAAGTGTGGATTTTGGTATCTCCTTCCTTTTGCTTTGCATAATTCCCTGTTCCGGTGTCCCATTCTTTCCCCCTAACTCTACCTTCATCATCACAGATCTCCCCTCTGCCTTATGTCATCTTAAACCTTTGTGCTTCTCACCCCTATGACCAGTCCCCGCAAGATCTCTCCTGTTCCCTACCCTTTAATAATATGCAGCTTATTGGGAAGCCTCTGCTCAAGTCATGTCTAGGGATGAGGGCCTCCCCTGAGGAGTGGTGACAATTTTTGGACAGATTTTATTGTTGGAATTTCTCCCATTAAGTTAAAGCCTTTTATCACAAAACCAAAAGGCACTGCCTCAGTGACCCTTATTATGATCCATAAGGCACTTCCATAACCTTCCTAGGTTTACAGTAAGAGCAGGAGTGTACTATCCTAATTAGATATTAAGGGATTAGTGTTACTAGTTCTATTAATATTATCATTTTGACCAAAATCCTCAATTCCAGACAGATATCTTACTTTCCTCAGCCATTTATCTTTCTCAGGCTGTGCTTTCAGCCAAGTATCTTTATATTATATGTGGAATAAAAAGAGAATTAGACTAAGAATCTGAAAATTTGGTTCTTGCTTTAGCTTTCCATTAACTGCCTGTGTGAGCTTGGGCAAGTCAAATCATCTCTCTTGCTTCTATTGTCTCATTCTTAAAATGGGGTGAAAAAATTGAGCTACAAGACCTTTCACTTTGCTTACCTCCCTCAAATAGGTCTGGAGATAAGCAAACAACGCCTCCTTTCTGGAAACTACTCCTTCATCCCAGACTCCATGACTGCCACTGAGAAAATCCTCTTCCTCTCTTCCATTATTCCCTTTGACTGCCTCCTCACAGTAAGATTGGTCCTGGGGGATAAGGGCTGGGAGGCGGCAAGTTGGAGAAAGGCACAAGAACCTCAGTGCTAGGGCTGAGTTCTGGGAGGTACTGGCCTAGCCCTGGAAAATCATAACTTTCCCTGGTGCTCTGCAGCCCTCAGGAGATTAAGATTTACCCCAATTCCACTGCTGATCCCTCCCAGGTTCGAGCACTTGGAGGGCTGCTGAAGTTCCTGGGTCGAAGAAGAATCGGGGTTGAACTGGAAGACTATAATGTCAGCGTCCCCATCCTGGGCTTTAAGAAATTTATGTTGTAGGTGATTCGCCCCAACCCCAGCCAAAGTAATGTGGGATTGGGAGGCCTGAAAAGTAAAATGGGGGTGGGGTGTGGGTGTGGCTGTGACCCAGTGGGTCAAGTGCTCTAGGACACCCGGGAGAACCTAAGGGCTTATGGGACTTTGGGAAGAAGACTGGGACAATATTCAGAAAGGAGGGCAAAGAAAGTGCAGTTGTGGAATGAACTCAGACCCCTCATACCCCAGCCCCCTTCCTGCTTGTTTTCTGTCCTCAGGACTCATCTTGTGAACATAGATCAAGACACTTACAGGTAAAGAGGTGGAGGCATGCTGCTGTCTCTGGGGAGGGAGAAGGATTAAATTTAATGCCCCAGTAATCCTAATGAGGCTCTAGTTTCCCTAATCCTGGGGCTATTAAGATCTCTCTCCTTGAAGGAAAGGGAAGGGGGGCTTTGAGGGAAAGAGAGGAAGAAAAGCATAAAGATATTAACTTTCTTTCTATAGGGAGAAACTGAGACAAAGAAAAGTAAGGGACAAACCTTACATCAAGATGTGATCTCGGCTGGGCTCGGTGGCTCGTGCCTGTAATCCCCGCACTTTGGGAGGCCAAGGCGGGTGGAT